ATCCCTTGGCTCTGAGCACTCATTTTTTCCCTCCTCTGATATTCTAGAACTTATAACCTGTGCCACTTTCACTGATTAATCCCCAGAATATTCAGACACCAGTTGAACATAGTCAAGATTTATATTGATACATTACATGTACCTCAACATAAATCAAGCTCTGCCTTATTGTTCTTAAGCTACAGTCAACAACTCTACTTATCCACAATACTCAAGGCCTTGCTGAATATTCCATGAACAATTCTGATAACCTTCAACTAATTTTTTTGAAGCTTATTGCTTATTGCTATCCCATTCCCTTTGGGGAATGACTAATACCAGGTGAGTCCTAGTAACCTGGATGCCTTGCATTGATCCGGATGTGCTCTTGATAGCAAGCCTCTCAGTAAAGACCATACTAATAGAGTTAGAACTACTCATTACAGGAATAGTATTAACATCCACTACTTGACACTCACCCCAATGAAAACTAATCAACCTCCTAGGAACAACCTATAAACCATTAAATACTCAGGTTATTTACCCAGAGGCTGACAAGTATCCTCAACCCTCTTGAAAGGTGTAGCCTTTCATCCAACAGTCCTCCATCCCCTGTGCCTCCACCAAACACCAATCAGCCAAATTATAATCCTACCCCTGATTCCCCACCCAAGCCAAAGTGCAAGCACAAAGCTCCTAAGGCCACACCCCCAACTCCCACTCAGTCTATCCCAGAAGAGTCCAAAAATCCAAACAACAATGCTGCAAGCAAGCTGGAAACTTCCGATCCCAAGAAGAGCAGAGTTCCATGCACTCAGATGTCCCCTTAACTTGTTGAAAGAGCCCTCCAAAAGGATTTTGATGAGCTAATCAAAATGGTTGCTCAAGACTTGGAATACATTTGGCTCACAGCCAAAGATCAAGTGGAGTTAAATGCTGCCTACATTGAATATAAATGACAGCTTTACTTGATTGCTTACAGGAATAAACTAGCAATCAAGTCATGTCTGCATTATCTTGGCAAGAAATCTAATCCCTAAGTATCCACCAACTATCAAGATTTCTGCTGATATGATCCTGTGGCCAAAAAAATTTACTTTGATAGTAAGTTGATCATTCTTATCATCATTTCTCAAACCTATTTACTAATTTTTCTCTCATCTCGGTACATAATAAAATGAAACAAACAAGTTTTTCTGTGAATGTGCTTGACTATGGTGCTTGCTCAGTTACTAAGCGCAAGCAAATTGGAAGGACCCCACCTTCTTGGAAACAATACAACACAAAATAGGAAAAGTTCAAGATGGTGTTGAAGAGGGAAAGGCTACTACTGCATCTGGTAAGAATAAAAGAAAGTCAAAGCACCAAGGAAATGCACCTTTTCATATCAACAAATGGGCAAATAATATTGTGGCTGATGTTAGTATACACCCACTTAGCTTAATGTTTTTCAAATTTATTGATTACTATCTCTCCTTTTGGCCCCTATTAAGTTGAGTAAGCTTAGCTGAAGCTCATGAATTGAAGACTTCTTAGTCCTTGGCTCCTGTGGGAAGGACAATTAACAGAGGGAGTCACTTTGGCAAGTGATTTCTCAATATGTTACCAATCTGTGTCAACTCTTCATTGATTTCATGAAAGGCTCCAAAGTGATCAAGCACCTAACCAATAAAAGAGCCCCCTTTGTAGACCAAGAAGAAACTGTCAAAGCCAAGGAAAATAGTCAGTAAGCACAACAAGGGCAGCATTGAAGACAATGACCGATTCATTTGTGCACAGATTAATAATGCTATAGGTAAGTATTTCTGTTTGATTTCCAATGATTTATTTGAATTTCTGACACACCTACTGCCCCTTTCTGACTACCAGAGCAGGTTTGTGGATACATCTGATGTTGGCCAGGAACAAATACTCAAAAATAAACTTAAAGCATTAATGAAATTTTTGCTGCAAGTGTCTAAAAATCCCCTTGGTGTGACTTTCCAACATTTTTGCCAATGGCTGGGAAATATGCAAGACAAGCACCCCTAATATGTTGTTGTGGAATTGAAAGAGAACTGGGTTGAGCTCATGGCTCATAGAGATGTCAGCAGGTACCTGGAAACGGGTGCGGGTGCGGGTGCGGGTGTCAACATTTACAGTAAAAACGGGTGCGGGTATCAACATTTGTGGTAAAAAAAGGCAGGTACCCGGGTACCTGCCTTACACCCGCCCTGGGAATGCTTCCCCTGAAGAATTTAATTTATCATTGGTGGTCCAACGCTCCCTTTTTTGGGTGTGCTGGGCTGCACAAAGGTGTCAGCAACCCATGTAGGACACCAGCTGGTGTCCTACATGTGTTGCTGAGCTAATCTGGTTGCTTTGTTGAGGCCTGAGGGTTCCCTCTGGCCTTTGAGATGGTGTACAGTCTTGATGACTGCAGGAATTCCTCCAGTCATAAAGACAGTGTACAGTCTTCATCAATGGAAATTGAATAAGGCAAATGAGGCCAAGCAAAAGGGTCAAGCTAAAGATAAATCAGAGAGAAGATAAAATTCAAATTGGTGATAGGATAATTTGTTCCTTTATTTTCTTTATTTTTAATTATGAGTAGAAAGCCATGGGCCGTAGGTGTACCATTTGTCCAAGTACTGGGATACCTTGTAAGGGTTTGAAATCCCTTC